TGCCAGGGATCAAACCTTGGTTCCTGTGCTTGCTTAAGCAAGAGCTTAGTTGGCTGAGTTATCTCTCTGGCCCACTCCTCTATTATCTATGTCTTCATTATGTGTGCTGAGAAATTCTTTCATGATCATTGTAATTTCTTTATTTCTGGGAAATTATTTCTCATCCAGTATATTTATATTTTATCTCTCTTATATTGCATTCAGGGTATCCACCCCAGGCCAGGTGTAGCACTCACATTCATAATCCCAGTAACACTTACATGCATAATCTCAGCAACACTCACACCCATAATCCCAGCACTGGATCATGACTTAATCACAAGCTCTAGAAGTCAGCCCCATGACTGCATGAAACTTTTGGGGGACAACTAGACCCAAACCATAACACATGTGCAGGACTTTCACATTCTTCCATGATCTTGTCCCCTGAACTTTTTCTAGGCGTGCTGGAGGTCTGAGGTTGCCTTCTGCTCATCCATATTGACATTTCTAATGGTCTCTTGGCTCACCCAGACTCAGCAGTCATGGTAGGGGGTTGTGGTGAGGTGAGGGTGAGCAAGGTTCCTATGCTAGTGGAAAGTGGTCCTAGGGATCACCACGGCTCACACTGCTGGTGGGTGAGGTGGCTGCAACTCAGGAGAACTCAGGATACGGTGGAGGGAGGGGGCATGACAGGGCTCACCATGTTTCCGTTGGTGTCCTGTGTCCACCTGCTTTCTACAAAAGAGGAAGAAGGTGCCTCAGCTCAGCTGAGCACAGGCAACAGTGGGAGGAGGGGCTGGGTCAGCACTTTCCAGGTCCCTATAGGTGACCTGTGTCCAGCTGCCTTGTACAAAACTGGGAAAAGCAGCCACACTCAGCTGAGTTCCAGTGATGGTGTGGGAGAGCTAGGGCAGGGAAGCTCAGGTCCCTGTAGGTGTCCTGCATCCACCAGCCTTCTATGATGCTGAGAGAAGAAGTGAAAACTCAACTGGCCTCCAGGGACAGTAAAGAGTTATGTTTTATGAAGACAATTACTTTTCTCTTCCAATTAGGCAGGGATTACTGAGGAAAAAGTTGTGGTGTAGTCTTGGGTTGTTTAATGATCTTTTTCAACTTTTGCTTAAATGAACTTCTCTCATTCTAGGTTATTGTAATTTATTGACAGTTCCTATGTCTTGAAGTTGAGCTGTATAATGCAAGGCCTACTCATGCTGTGAGAATGTGCAAAGGGTGTGAGACTGATGATGCAAGAGTGTGGCCTGTGCACAGTAAGGAGTAAGTGTCATCTTACACAGCACACATGGCATCAGGACCTGGAACTAATGGCATGGTCAGTAGAAGGTAGTACTTCCGATGCTATTCAAGACCATTTCAGATGAAGAAACTGCCACTCGGACAAGAAGTAGTGTTGCATATCAAACTGATTCAATGATGGGGTACCTGAAGTGTCTGTAACTTACTGCTTAATTGCAAGAAAGAGATGCAAGTGCATATGATGTATATGATGTAAAGAGAATATCAGCAGGAGGAGCCCAGCTGCCTGCATGGACACAGGCACAAGTGAATTTGGGGTGATCAGCAACTGAGGATCCGGCTAAGGTGCTTGCTACCTGTCCATTACCACTGTGCTCTAGGTTCTGCCTCTAGGACAGGCAGGCACTTAAATGTCATTTTTACGTGAACCATGTGTTATTCATTGGGCTGCAGTTGTCTCATAGGTAGCAAATAGCTGAGCACATCTCGATAGTTATTTGTGTCCTTGTCACTGTAAATCAAAGTTGAGATCTCTTCTAATTTATGCTTGGTGAGTGGTGGTCATGTAGGATCTGAATTGACAGGGTTGGTCAGCCCTGAATTCTAATGGTCTCAATTCCTTCAAGACTGAAGACCAGGTGAGAAGTTTACAGGGACTTTCATCTCTTCCCAGAGGCCTCCAGCCACTGTTCTACCCTGGTATCACCGGGATTCCAGGGAATGGGATTGCTCTAGGTACTGAGACTCCAACGACTCAGAGTGCTTTTCTGGAAGGGTGACCACTACTCAGCCATTAAGATCCCAGATCTATGACCTGATGATGAGACACTGAGCACTTGAACTTCAGCCACAAGTCTGTCCTTGAGATTGGCCTTCCTTTTACCTGGAGGCCTGGCCAAAACCTCTGTAGCAGGGTGACCCCAACAGCCACCTGAGCTGGATGCCTTTCTGTATCACTCTGATCATTCAACTGAAACTTTCTTCTAGTGCTGAAGAAAGGATCGTAGTGCAACAAGCAGCTGCAGGGTGTATGAACAAGATGCCCAAATGTAGGCCCCATTTGCAGGAAATTTTATGATGTTTGTGTAGATTTCCCACAATCCCACAGATCTCTGAGACCTGGAGCACTCTGATCTCAAGCACTGCAAGGTACTCTCAGCCTTTATCCAAATAAGACTGTAGGAGACACTTCCAGGTCCTCATCTAGGTCCAAGAAGCCAATATTTGTAATCCCAAAGTTACGTTATTGGAATCCCATCAAATTGATTTCAATCTGCCACTTACAATGCAACCCACAGTGAAAATAAAGACACTAAATTATATCTTCAATCATCGGGGAGTCAAGGGGCTCTAAGTCCAGGCATGAAGATGGCTTTCTGGAACCAAGAGAGCGACCCAGGGCCTCACCCAGTTTTATTCAACGGGGGAGTGGCTTGAGGATTGACTGAGAACTGTGGGAAAGAGACTACTATGAGCTGAGCTGGGTGGGTGGCCTAAAATTACCTCTGCGATATGCAAAGAGGATGTGCAGAGAGAGTAATCTGCATTATATAGTATCTAATGTTTTGGTGAGTCTGGTGCTTCAGCTTTGGTGTAGCCTTTCAAGCCCCAGGAAGTCATAGCCTCTGTCTCGAGGCTGGATCCCAGCTGGCAGCCCAGAGCATTAGCTCTACCATCCTGTCTCAACCTGGCTCACATTAAAGAGCAGCAGGTATAGGTTGCCAGGGAAACATGCAGGCCACCTTCAAAGGCTATCGCCAGCACCTCAGCTAGACCAATATACATTGCTTAAGGCCAATTGAAGGATAAACAGAAGTCCTAGGAAGCTCTGTGCATAACAATACAAGGAAATAGGGTCAGGCTCATTCAAAATGGAGACAATCCACATGGAGAGAAAACACTCTCTCAGGCTTTCACAGAGAGCACATTGGTCAAGCAATGGCCATGACTCATCCACATGGCTGCACTGACAAAGGTTCTACAATCTGAGGTA